ACGAGAAAAAAATAGTTTGCTTTATTTTTATAAGTGCTTAGCACCATTTAAGGAAATTTATAACGATCTTTTAACTAGAAACAAGAAATGTAAAATCATATACTTTTTGCAAAAGGTAAAGCATGGATCTGAAGATAATGCAGAAAAATGCTCATAGGATAAGGATAACTTGGCAAAAAGAAAACGCTCTCGGTTAATAGTGCTTTTAGCGATGACGAAAAAATTGTTTAATTTATATTAATATGTCTCACTTAAGAAACTTTTAATAAAGATATTTACCTTAATCATCAAAATATAATAGCATGTTTTTTTGATTTTTGGAACCTAACCCTTCTTTTCGTACTAGTTCTTTGTTTTGTATAACACGGATTCGCATAGCACGGCAATTTTTTGGAACGTAACTACCGTGTTATACGGGGATTACCTGTACAACCACCACAAGTGTCATGCAATGTTTCTTCCATTTAAGACAGAACTAACGCTAATGTTTTGAAACTACGCTCATTCAATATTACTAATATATTAAACATTTTCATTCTCTTTCAGGTGTAAATACAATGAACATTATATTATCATATGTGGCTTTCACATATATATGTAACGACAAAGTATTTAGTAAGTATAAATTTATTTATCAATACAGTAGTGTTAATCAAGCTACTAAAATTTTAATATATATCAAACCGATTATTTTCAGGAGACATACCGTATTTACTTAATCAAAAAGGGGTAGTCACAAAAGTGTCTTGTTACAAAGCATGGAGTCCAATATACGTCGGAACAGTTTGGATCAGATTACAATATGCACCTACATTTTGGTCTCAGATGCATCCTGTTAATACACGAATAAACGCTTCTTCTACTGTTAAAGTTGAAGACAAAATGTTGAAAATCGTAAGTAAGCAACGCACTTGTAATTTAAACTTATCTTTTGTAATTCTGAACTTTTGCTTCAGTGTCTTAATCTGGAAAGTTGTCAATCTTATCCATATAAATTTAAGTACGTAACAAAGATACATAGAAACATTACTGTGAATATAACTACAGAATATGTAAGTAAAGTGTTAATAATTTTTATTTGAGATATAATTAATAACTTGTAGTATAAATATATGCAAAATTAAAATCTATCACATTTCTGTTAATCTGAAAAAATTATACAATCGGATAAAAATTATTGCGTACTTATTTGAACAACTAATCGGCCTGTTACGTAAGATTGATTCAGTGCCCAGAAAGTGGAGAGTTGTATGACTTATATAACATTGAAATATTTCCATTTACGCTCTTTTTTCTACGTGGGCACGAATAACAGCGTTTTAATTGTAATTACTACGGATTCGGCAAATCCACGACGGAAGTCAAATAATAAGACACAAGGTCTGACATATCTGTATCACAATGCTATATGTATTATTCTTAGGATTCTTCTCGTCAATGCAATGCAGAGTATAGAGAGGTCGATGCCGAAGTTTTAAACGCGAAAACGTGAATGTCGGACGTTTAGCGCCGCCTTCCTGTAAGACTAGAAGTTTGACAATGGCGTTTGGAACGTCACAGGGAAAGTGTGATGATAGATGAGAAAATGACCCCCAAAGCTTTTTACATTTTTTACTTAATACACCTGAAACTTCAGAAAATACAAAAACTGAAAGAGAGATTATTTCTCTATGTATAGATGTTAGTGTGTCTGTGTGGAGAGAGGCACGATATTGTTCACTCTTTTTGCAGTGTTGCTTTTTGCGGTAAATTTTTTAATTTTTGTGCAGAAATTTGTTTGTTAGGGGAATAAATGCTATTAAATTTTGGTGAGTACAGATCACTAAGATGAGGAGTTNTATAGTACTATTTATCGAGTCTATTTGTTAGTTTCTTTTATTTAGAAAGCTACACCTTAGTCATTTACTTATCTCGTGCAAATAATAATTCAGAAACGTATAGTTTTATTTGAACAAGTATATGTTAGATTAGCGTGGAGTGATGTTTTGAAAAAAAACGGATTAATTCTATCTAAATTTTACTTTTCCGGCCTGTATAGACTATATTACACAGGGAAAGTATGATGATAGATGAGAAAATGACCCCCAAAGCTTTTTACATTTTTAACTTAATACACTTGAAACGTCAGAAAATACAAAAACTGAAAGAGATTATTTCTCTATGTATAGATGTTAGTGTGTCTGTGTGGAGAGAGGCACGATATTGTTCANAACGCTAATGTTTTGAAACTACGCTCATTCAATATTACTAATATATTAAACATTTTCATTCTCTTTCAGGTGTAAATACAATGAACATTATATTATCATATGTGGCTTTCACATATATATGTAACGACAAAGTATTTAGTAAGTATAAATTTATTTATCAATACAGTAGTGTTAATCAAGCTACTAAAATTTTAATATATATCAAGCCGATTATTTTCAGGAGACATACCGTATTTACTTAATCAAAAAGGGGTAGTCACAAAAGTGTCTTGTTACAAAGCATGGAGTCCAATATACGTCGGAACAGTTTGGATCAGATTACAATATGCACCTACATTTTGGTCTCAGATGCATCCTGTTAATACACGAATAAACGCTTCTTCTACTGTTAAAGTTGAAGACAAAATGTTGAAAATCGTAAGTAAGCAACGCACTTGTAATTTAAACTTATCTTTTGTAATTCTGAACTTTTGCTTCAGTGTCTTAATCTGGCAAGTTGTAAATCTTATCCATATAAATTTAAGTACGTAACAAAGATACATAGAAATATTACTGTGAATATAACTACAGAATATGTAAGTAAAGTTTTAATAATTTTTAGATGAGATATAATTAATAACTTATAGTATAAATATAGGCAAAATTAAAATCTATCACATTTCTGTTAATCTGAAAAAATTATACAATCGGATAAAAATTATTGTGTAGTTATTTGAACAACTAATCGGCCTGTTACGTAAGATTGATTCAGTTCCCAGAGAGTGGAGAGTTGTATGACTTATATAACATTGACATATTTCCATTTACGCTTTTTTTTCCACGTGGGCACGAATAACAGCGTTTTAATTGTAATTACTACGGATTGGGCAAATCCACAACGGAAGTCAAATAATAAGAGACAAGGTCTGACATATCTGTATCACAATACTATATGTATTATTCTTAGGATTCTTCTCGTCAATGCAATGCAGAATATAGAGAGGTCGATGCCGAAGTTTTAAACGCGAAAACGTGAACGTCGGACGTTCAGCGCCGCCTTCCTGTAAGCCTAGAAGTTTGACAATGGCGTTTGGAACGTCAGTGGAATCATGCTCGACGTTCCAAACGCCATTGTCAAACTTATAGGCTTAAAGGAAAGCGGCGCTGAACGTCCGACGTTCACGTTTTCGCGTTTAAAACTTCGGCATCAACCTCGTTATTAACTGTTTAATACGTTATGAGCAAAACATAAGTTTTGATTCAGTTTATTCCTTCGAAAATTCAGTTTTAAAATTCTTTTGAGGTGGATAATAACAATACACTATTTAAGTTATACAACAGAGAACGTCGAATATTTATTATCAAGTAAATATCTTCAAGCACGAACAGTTTTAACTGATCGAAGAAATTTTTTAAATTGTCAACTTACTTTTAAAATTAATTGTTTTTTATTTATTAGTTGAATAATGTATTTGGTGTAGACAATGAGACAGGACTTCTTAAAGGCGAAACAATTACCGTAAAGATCTTCAATTTGTTAAAAGAGAAATATGATTTTCGGTTTGTTGATGAAAATTCTCTTTACTTTTTTCGCAATAATAACAATATGTATCCTAATAGTTGTATTTTTGCTTTAATAGTATTGTTTATGTACCGGTACACTGGTATACGGTAAGTGAAGTTATATTCATTTCGGTAAGATGTATTACAGGATATGGTAAATATTTCCAGAGACGAATATATGTGGTAATACACGGATAAAAGTCTATATTAATCTATGTTTGTTTAATGGTATTAACAAAGATATTGCTTTGTGAATTACATTTGTTTGATATGCTTCGTGGACTTTCTACACTTCTTGTTAGAAATTATCCCTGAAAATGTTTACCATTTACTTAATACATTCTGTATTCAATAGCATTTATTACAGAACATTTACGCAAAGAAGTGACAAGTCAAATGATTGTTTTCTCGCAAGATTATTTGAAATTTAATTCCTTCGCAGTGATATCATAGAACTACGCCTTGCACTCCGTATATATAGTTGATTATTGTACAAAACAGCAGTGAAAATGAGAAATGATGTTTACTAAATATCATAAAATAAAGCATTCTATTATCTACACCAAATTCGACAAGATTTTTCATAGTCAATAATGACAAGGAATACATTCTTGATCGTATTTACCCATTCACATATAATATATAAAATGCCAAAAAGCTATTGAAATAACGTTTTTTCATTAACACAGTATTGATAACAAATTCTTCAATATCAAAAGTGTTTCATTCGAAACAAATTTTTATATACATTATCTGGGTGGAAGATGTTTTATATAGCAATGTCAAAAATATTCAACTAAATCGTACACCTTTCATTTAAAAATTTTGCATGCTTTAAAATTTTCTAATTAATTAATTAATCAGTTTATTTCCTATATAATGATCTTGTTTATTATTTAAAATGACAAAGGTTCTAAAAATTCCTTGTGACATATCCGAAAACTATTACAAAATCATTCCTTCTGCTATATGTGAAATTTCTGTGATTTTTGTTATCAAAGCGGCCGAACCATTAGACAAATCCATTGCTCTACTCAAGCCTTTCAGTCTTGTGGTGAGTATTGTCAAATACTTTTCTATATCATCTTTCTGTAATCTATACGATTTGAATGTAATTTCAGGTATGGATATTTGTTGGAGTATCGATTCTGTTCTTAACTCTCAGTTTATTTCTGCTGTTTTCTTCAGAAGCGAAGATAAAAGCTATGAATGCTCCAAAATTTTTTAACGTATTTTGGATTGTAGTGCGTTGTTTTCTTCGTCAAGGTAAGTGCTAGATAATGGTTTTTTACATGTATACTGTTGATTTTCGTTTTTTTTTGTCATATGAGATTGTCAGATGTTGATTGAATGAAATCACTAGTTTTCTGTAATTGATGTTAAATTAAAGAATTTTTTCTTGCAGATATTGAAATAGAATCCATCAGATTGAAGACAAAGTATATGATTTTTGGAATTTGGATGTTAATGGCATTCGTTTTGTCTTCGGGATATTTGGGCATTCTTCCTTCCTTCTTGATATTTCCAGGAGAAGAAGTGATTCCGCATAATTTTGTTCAATTGTTCGAAGCCGTTAAGCAGGAAAAGTATCAAATAGATAGTATCGAGGGTTCTACGGCTAGTTTATTCATTTGGGTAAGTTATTAGGTCTACTTAATTTTATATTCAATATTTAGTAAACCTGCTTATAAAAAATTTCAAAATAACAGTCTGTTACAGAAATATTATGTTAGGTTTACCATTTTTCGTAACTTTTGGTTGGATTTTTAAATTATTTTCAGCATTACATTGTATAATTTTAATTTTAATAAATATAATTTAATGTTTTTTTAATGATTAGTTAGAATTTTTATTGCAGTTTAAAATATAAGCATTGCATTCATCTTACCTGTGTGAATGCAATACTGGGGTTCTTATGTTATCAAGTACTGTTGTAAAAATTTTCACGATGTCAGGGTTTCTTCCTTCTAAATTTTTAGTAATACAGATTAATGGTTATCATGACAAAAAACTAAAAAAAGAATCAGCCAATTCATTGTTATAACATTGACAATATTCAGAAGAAAAAACGAAAGGAATGACCGTGGTCGTTCTTTTTGACTATCGTTAAGTTACAGTTGTTACTTTATCAATATAACATAAGCACATATAACTCATATTATACTAGAGAAAAAAAAATTAAAAATAACCAATTAAAGTAAATTCTCATTACATTAACATTTTTTGGAATAAAAGCACAACTATTCAGAAAACTTAAAACAAAGGAAAAGATAATGAACAAAAGTGAGAGAACAAAAAAAAGAGATATCAAAAGAGGCAAGTTAACACAATATCTTCAGTGTCAACTCAGATAGTTTAGAGAAAACACTTTCAGATTTTTTAGATTTTGACGGCTCCCGAGTCCCCACAATTATATTCCGAATATTTTATTACGCAAAATACTTGCATTATTTTGGCAACTTTTCATCTAGAAAGAAACATTTGTTTCTTATATTTTACATACGCGTTTTTTCTAATGACATCTTATATATGCACGCGACCGTAATGCAATTTAATACAACAGACTATAAACAGTTCGTATCGTATAGTATAAGTTCTCCAGTTTAGAGAGCAAAATTATATTTTAATGCGTTAAATTTCTCTTTTATTTATTATAGAAAATAGTTTTCAACGAACACAAAAATAAAATGTATGAATTTGCGCAATCGCACTTTCTTGATAATGGATGGGATACGTTAGAAACTGCTTCAGACGGATTACAAAGCGTTTTATACAAGAAAACTTGTCTGCTCGCTTCTACAATTGATATCAAAAAGGAAATTCAGGCATTCGGCCCTGAAAAGTTCTTCGTATCCACTGATATCTTATACACCGAATACGATTATTTATGTATGGAGAAACCATTTCTATACATACATGAGTTTCAAAAAGCGTAAGTATTAATACTACGCATGTTTGGAAATCATTTGCAATTGCAGTGTATATGTTACAGTCAAAACCCGTTTTTAGTTAGAACGCGTTTTAACTAGTTGAAACTAGTTTATACTGAATGTCTTTGTTAAAACCCGTTTTGTCTAGTTAAAACTAGTTTTAACTCAAATTCATTTTTGACTAGCAGTAAATTCTAGTTTTAACTAGACAAAACGGGTTTTAACAAAGACATCCAGTATAAACTAGTTTTAACTAGTTAAAACGCATCCTAACTAAAAACTGGTTTGACTGCAACGCATAGAGTGATTCGGGGTAAGATGGTAAGCGGGGGAAGATGCCTAATTTTTGATATTTTCAAACGGTGACGTCACATATTGTCATGTATTTGTATGATGAATCGTTGGGCCAATATTGAGTGCGGAAAGCTGTAGTTGGCTACCGTTACTTCATTTTCTACATCCGAGAAGAATAAAAGCTAGATAAGAACGAAGTTTTTGTTGTGAAATGTTTCTAGAATAATTTTAAACTAAAAGTTAAAATGGAATTTATTAAAAATTGCTAAAAACAATTAATGTGTGATGTAGTTAAGGTTCTAAAGTTTCCATTGTCAGCTACCGCCGATCCCGATCGGACATGCTGGAGCACGTGACTCTACTAGGCATCTTACCCCAACAAATGGAAAATATGCCACATTTTTCTTGGGGTAACGTGCCTATTTTTTGTTAATTGATTTCCAATATGCCTATTTTTAATAAACTTTTGTTTTCTCGTTTTATTGCAGGATATGCATAGAAATTATATAAGGACTTCTCAAAAAAGTTTTTGGACTGAAAAAAGCTTTCAGCTAGCTATAGAACACGTTAGAACGGGCGGAAACTTAACAATACTTATACTGTGCTGTTATACTTACTATGAAGTACTTTGTACTACATATGCAATAAATTAAATTTGGTTAAGAAATTCAAAAATTAATTTTAAGCAATTATATTTGTTATCTTACCCTAATGGCATTTGGCATCTCACCCAGATACTTGGGGTGAGATGCTTAAAATGCCAGACAGTGAAAAAGTCGTCATTGCAAACACAGTATAGAATTTTTTAAAATAAACTCCAAACTTTTATTTGAAAGACATACTCGAGAATATGATACTGTATTTTCATTAGAAGGCTCCTAAACTCAAATTAGCGCTGTAATTTTCTTCATAAACAAAATGTTAGGCATCTTCCGCCGAATCACTATACATAACTTTATTTCCCCCAGACATATTTATGTAGCTAAAATTAGTTTTAACTAATGTTAAAAGTTAAAACTAGTTTTATCTAAAGTCAAAACATGTACAGCAGTAAGTTAACTAGGGGTTTTGTCTAGTTAAAACTAGAATTTACTGTAGTCAAAAATGAATTTGAGTTAAAACTAGTTTTGTGTAGTTGAATTTCAGTTAAAAACCGTTTTGTCTAGTTTTAACTAGACAAAACGGGTTTTAACAAAGACATTCAGTATAAACTAGTTTCAACTAGTTAAAACGCGTTCTAACTAAAAACGGGTTTTGACTGTAACATATACAAAAGTAACAGAACCTGCATGGTTAGTTGTTGCTTGATTTCGTTACAACACGATGAATTTTGATGTTGGTTGTGACCAGCTTTGATGTTGGTTGTGGCCAGCATAACAGTTCATTTATTTGATAGCAATGTGTAGGCTGAAAGCACTCAAAATCCTTCCCTACATACACGATGCTGTCTCTGGATGACAGAGTGATACCAAAAGCGTATGGTTATCTGACACCACCAAGAAGTCGCCAGACAAATGGCTAAATCATACTGAAATTTACAGTGATTGAATGCATGTAACAAATAAACTATTCTGACAAGTCGATTGCAAATGGTGTCTTAACATGCTTCTTACGAACTTTTGTAATTATCTGTGTTTTTTATTCATATAGATTTTAACAATTTTTAGGATAAATATCATTCATCAATCCGGAATTGCTGACAAGCTGCAAAACGACCAGGACGAAGACGTTCGAAGAAAAAGGGAATTTTACGAACCGCTTGAGGCAAATAAAGACGATTCATTAAAATTAGAACACGTCATAGGTCCCATATATTTATTGCTGGTTGGTTATTTGCTTTCGACTTTAATATTCATCATGGAACTTGTGTTTTATTACGGAAAAAACTGTTTATCTCGTAGAAAGTTATAGAATTTTAGAAATTCTTTGTGTTTAAAAATAGGAATATTCTTGAAAAGAAACAAAAATCAAGTTTTGAATGTATAATATCGATGTATGGTTTTTGTGTTGTGCATTTCAAAAATTTACAAGTATTTGTAGTTTAAAAATGTATTCAAATATTAACTCTTTTCGTAAATTTAAGATTTTTGAGTTCTTCAATTAAATTGAAAAACTGTAGCATGATTTTTCTTATAAGATAATGCCCAATCTGTAATTGATGTCTATAAGATGCTAAGCACTATCCGTATTTTTTAATACTGTAAAAGCACCAATGGGGTCCATATTTCACGCATCGCCATCTCGAATTAACTTATGTCTGTCAAGATCAAAATTTAAAAAACGTAAACATCACACAGATTAATACATACCCCTAAGTCTCTCGAACGGAATACATGCACCAGTGAACCTACAACTATACGATTTATATTTTAAAAATAATTAAATTCACTTAGCATTCAAAACTTGCGAATTTTGAAAAAAACAAATTTGCTGATTAAATACGGACAACCGTTTAAATGAAGTAAAACGGGTTTTTCCCTTGCTATGGATGTCTGCCTAGTTCAGCTCAGCCACATTCCGCAACAGTTCGCCTTTATTATCAGTTCGAAATGAGGTGGTTCCATAATACCCGCAGTGTTCCATAATACCACCTTCTCCTCTACTTTTATATAAATGTAATGAATGATATGTAGCTCTCCATCAAAGGAAATATATTATATATCCTTCAATATTTTACTCATACTTTTAATTTGCACAGAATGCAGATGTAATTATAAATCTACCGTTGCAGGAGTGTTGGTAGGTTAGAGAAGCAATACACCTTACTGCAGATTCTTACTTTTTCGTAACACTGGAACTGCACTCGTGCAACTCTGTTTTCATATAACAACTAAAGAAACTGCATTCAGACATGGGCTTAATTACACTCCAGTTCAGCAGTAAAATAAATAGGTTCTGGTATGTTGTTTTTATAACTGCAAGTTATTTACTGGAAATTTGAATTATGCTTATGACACATCTATTTTAACTCTTGCAACATCAGAAATTTTGTAGCAGAGTATGTTTAAATTAAATACTTTCCCAAAGGAGACACGTAACACGCGGTTGTATTTTGACTATTACAAATCTTTTTTGACAGCATTGAAGAAGTCACTATAATTATGATCACATGTATATTCCAAGTTCTTTTGAATTTTAATTCATAATAGCAGTATGTAGTCTAGGTGAGTGTGCTACTTGGTGTGTGAAGTAAACCTCTCTCTAGTGTTCTCTACATGTGAGACAGATACTTAGTTCTTTATCTCACATAAAATCAACTTTAATATTAATTAAAGTTTTGCAGATGTTTGTATTATTCTGTATGTCTGCAACATAAGATTTTTTTTAATTTATTGTTTTTCGAAAAAACCTTACCAGATAATTTCTTTTGGTCTTAACCTATTTCGGCACACAGCATGCTTCAAACAATCGGGACATTCCAATTTTCAACGCGAGTGTTGAGTGTTGAAGTCAACAATTTGACGTCATCAACGACGTTCCAACTCGAGTACGAAGTGCTTAGTTCCCATAATTCCATTCTCAGCAAGATGGATTCCATTCAAATGTCTTACGAATTACCCACAATTCATTGGAAAGTAGAAGTCAACATATCTGTTGAGTGCTGAGTGTGTTGAGTAAGTGCTGACAACAGCGTTATTTCAACGTTGAAAAAAGGAACGAATTTTAGCGTATGTTGAGATCAGCGCTGAGTCAGCGTTGAAAATTGGAATGTCCCGATAGCCAAATTTTGTCAACGATGCATTTTAAACAGGTCCTACTGCATACAATGCATCGTTGCCTCTCCTTTCTTTTGTTACTATATTTTACTTTCTAATTCCCGCTTTTCCTTCCTTTTTATTTTCATTCAGGCTAAACAGAAAGTACGATCCTTTCATTTTTTCACCTCTGCCAGTAATATACAATAGTAAATGTGAAGATATATCTTAACAGGTAAATACCTGCTAGTACCCATTAAAAATGTTGTCGTGATGCATGCTCCCTGGCCAATCGCCATTGTGTTGAATTATGTATATTCCAAACTAAAGAAAGAACAAAAGCAAGTACTAACAATTTCTGCACCATCAAAAATTGAATGCATAATTCTTAATTTTCGATTTCCATACAGCTATATTAATGAAGCTAAACGGTTTTATAATTTTATTAAATTTGATTTATTTAAAATTTTGATTCTTAATTAGTTTAGGAATAATCATCGATTTTAAATTTTTATGCGAATGAAACTTACTTATTTTTGTTATTATATAAAAGACACTTATTCAATTATTCATATTATACATCATTTTGTTTTAAAAATAACTTGAAGTATATAATGCAATTTATATTCATAAAATGTCAATATTTTAATATTAAAAAGGGTATCAATCTATTTGAATAATTCATTTTTCATACGAATAAATATATTCATTTCTTCGATTTCAATGTAGTTTAGTATATAGTACTTGTTCGTTAATGTGGTTACAACAGGACCAGAGTTGTTCCGGATTATTGAACGTGGTTTTATTTTTCAATATCAAGAGCGTGATTACAGCCAGTGTAAGCACGATACACAGCCTGACTGTATCGTATCTATAAACGTATTATTGCAGAAAATTAATATTCACAATGATTTATGTCCATATAATATTCATCTAACTGAAATGTACTTTCAGAACTTACCTTTCAGAACTTTGGTATAAGGCGTCGTTTCCGTATACGTTCTCGTTTTGAATTCGTATACAAATTCCATACAGCCAGAATAATTCTTTTCTCTCGTTTTATTAAATACATGAGACAACAGAAAGTAAATACAGCACCTGAATAAAAGACCAATAAAAAGCTAAAGGTAAAACATTAGAATTTGATTTATTCTGAAATATATTAGTAAACTTTTAGTTATGTAACAACCATTCTTATCGTAATATGAAATTTAAATTTTACAGTTAATTTCAAGTTTACTACTTGAAATTTAAATTCCTTTTATTTGAATTAATGATTTCAGATATTATTGAAAATATTATTTCTTTAGATCCATAAAAAAGCTCAATCTTTTTAACTTTGTGACAAATTAAGTCTGCCAGCTATCCTTAATTAATATTAAAAGTAACAAAATTTGATTATATCTTGGAACAATTATGGCTTCTATCAGTAGAGAATGATCGGAAATATAAAACAATTTGTGGTTATATTATACCAGATCTATGTGGAATAATTGCTGTACGTGCTGTACCGCTTCGCGATAGAGTATCTTCTTGGACTATTGTTTAATCTGTGTTGCCCACCTTTTTCTGGCACATACGATTTTAAAAAGAAATCTAATTTGCTGGAATTTATCAACTTTGTCTTTGTGTATGATGGACTAACCAATTTCTAATGGAATTTTAAACATTCTTTAATATTTCTAAAGGTACCTATTTTCAAAAGGTAAATATAAGAGTTGTTTACTATATTTATACACAGTGTTCCATAAATTGTTTCGTTCGAGAGAAACATCTGAAGATTTCTTAAAATGAAAATCATTCGTAAAACAATTCGTATATTGAACAGAAATTACACGTTTTAACTTTAAAAATATGATAAAATTTATATTTTATACACGTAACTGTAAATCATTTTTAAAAAATTGTGGTGTTTGTTACATAAGTATTTTATTATATAAACGGAAACATTGCTAAAAGAATTCAAAGACCGACGAATATTATTGATCAGTTACAACATTTATATATAACAGTGTTTACATATTAAACTAGTAATTTTTACATGTATGCAAACAGTCTCACTGCAAGATGAACTATAGTACACTTCGCTGTATTTAGTTATTCTCGATAAAATATATTATTATGAATTAATAGAATATAGTTCTTGCTTCAAGTATGTCGAACAACTGCACAGGGTATATTCTGTATCCTTTACTAAACTCTATTAAAATATTTGGTTTGGACATAATTCAACCATGCAACTGCATGCACACATCTAAAAGAAAAACAGATAAATTTTTACTACACATGTTCAAAATGTATACGCATTTTGTCGAGATTTATTTATGGATGGCTTCTGTCTTTTTTCTAGTAAGGCTATATAGTCTAGATATATACTGCTTAAGAGTAAACAAGATATACAAAGACTGTGCATTCAAAGGATCCATTATTTGCTTCCTGATAATATTTTACGTATCTTTATTTCAGCATAGATAAAAACTGAAGCTGTAAAGGTGATGACAATCAACAGTAGAAACAGCATAAAAAATACGTATAATAAATATATTTCCATTCGATTTATTACACTTTTTTCACGATCACTCACAATACAATGCAGAGTAATTTTAGTCCTCTTCAAAAGGCTGAAATGCGTCATCACCTTTACAGCTTCAGTTTTTATCTATGCTGAAATAAAGAGACAACAAGGTACAGAGAACAAGGCATTCTTTTGTTCGATTTTACACGCCGTTCTATGTATATATTTAGTCAGACAGATCGTTGTATTTATTATTTTTGTGTCAATTGTTTTCGTTTTTCTTGGGAAAAGACTCATAAAACTTGCTAAAGAGTTGTCAGAGTTAAAAAGAAAAAAGAGACAGCTGAAAAAAATTTTACAACGTACACGCCTTCAGCATATACAAATGTGGGACATCATTTATTCTGTTAACAACAAATGGAGAATTTCTAACCTCAATTCTTTACACTTTCTTTATGTATATGATTTGTATACTTCTGTTCGCTGTGATGTTTTCAAAACTTGATATGAAGTTAAGGATTCTCTATACACTTGTATCTTTTGCATTTTTTACAGGAATGATTTTAGTGTCTTGGATGTTGTCATATTTCACTTCTTTGGTAAAAATATATTTATACTAAACGCTTAATATTCAATAGTTTCAACTGAAATTTTAATTGTATTTATCATCATTATGTATATTAAAGGAAATTTGATATTTATTAAAATTTTTTTATCATTTCAGA